CAAGGGACTTTCCTGTTTTCTTCACACATGATCAGCAAACATAACTCTTGTTACACTACATACGTAATTCCCATAACATTGTCAGTTGTGCCCTGACATAATGTGTAAAGACACAGAGGATCATTTCTTGGGTAGCTGGAAGCTGGTGGGGATGAGGGGTGTTCTGCCAGCCAGGCACTGGCACGTCACCTCTCTCCTCCCCACCCTTCAAAGAGAAGCAGCCACCCTTGTACGGGTGTTTGGGATGGGGAGTTTTTAGGTAGGGTAGAACACCAGAGGAGATGCTGTTCTCCATCCTGGAACAGGGAAAGCATTTACGGAGGCAACAGACAGACTTCAAGGAAATGCTTCATATGGAGTTGGGGAAAAAAAAAAAAAAAAAAAAAATTACTAAAAAATATTGCAGTAGTTCATCATCACAGTGTTTCAACTAAATCATAAGTGGTTAGAGAGCCCAAACTTCTCCTTTACTTAACACATTCCCATCCCCCTACTTTATTTGAAATAACTGGGCAATAAATATGTACCCATCATTTTATCTGACACATGTTTTTGAAGGATGACTTACTATTTCCCTGCCTAACATAATAATCAGTCTGAGAAATATCAGATAGACAATGATTTTAAAATATCATTTAAAAGAAAAGGTAAAAACACAATACAACCTACTTTAAAATAGAAAGAACTTTGTTCAGGTTATTGTGCTATCTTTTACTGTCTTCTCAAGAAAAGAATGAAAAATCTTTCTTCTGCCAACTGTCAGAGACTAAATCATCAATATTTTGAAAGTGTTTTGAAATAATATAATACTCAAATGAGTATTCTCTGATGTCAGCGTTATAATCAGACTGGTACTTACATTTAGATGAAGTTGATTTGTCCACTGACCAATTACTTTGTATTCAGTACTCTTGTTGGTGATTTGATACTGAAAAATATCATAGCGTCCAGGAGCATCTCCATTTTCATTGAAGATAACGGGTGTTCCAGCACTCCCTGAAAAAAAATTAAAAAGCAATTTGGATAAATACCTTTAAAGCAATTTTCCAGAAGATATATTTTGGAGGAAAAATGTTAATTAGAGATTGAGCAGGTTCTTCGTAATGCAAGGCTAGTATGGTAATAAATCCAAAGATCTCACAAAAAGAAAATGTGTGTTATTACCATCATCAAAAAATCTACCATACCTATGATAAATCAATTTTAAAATATAGTCTTTTTCAGTCTTTTTGTTTGTTTGCTTTTGTTTGTCTTGTGTGTGTGTTATACAACATTAAGAAATTCTGTGATAAAACAGCAGTGGAGAAACTCCTTTTGATTTTCAAAAGGGTACAATTTCACTTTAGGATGTAAATATAGTGCAGCAGGGACAAAATAGCAATCTTGTAATGAAATTCATAAAGAATTTCCATGTTAAGTATAAAGAAAAAATTAATATCATCAACTTAGGAGACAGCATTCTTAAAAGACCTTGAGACGCATGTGTCTGAATCTGGTCACAGTTAATGTGATCAGTTTCTAGCACTGACCACCTGTGTAAAAGTGTTTTATCAAAATAAATTAAGGATAGCAGCTGTGCTTGTTGCTCTCTCCTTTATACATGACACTGCTTGACAGAAAAGTCCATTGCTGAAGCTGTCAAAAGTTATAAATCGACACGGTTCTTACTTCGATCAACAAAATGTTCAAAGATTGAAAACTACTCGTCTACCTTGGCAACCAGGCCAGCCAAATTAGAACACATTCTGATGAATTCCCTCAAGGTGACATCAAGGATCTGCAGTCCTACAGAGAGTCTGCAAAAACTACACCAAGAATGTAATTTTCATGCATCCACAAGCTCATATTTATAGGTGAATCATATTTATAATTGAGGTCCATTGAAGACAAATTCAAGTATGTTAAAATTCTATTTCAGTGACTGGAGAATGAAGTCTATTTTAACTAAGGAAAAACCCCAAAGCACCACAACATCCACCCCTCAATGTTTTCGGATTTCTCCATATGAACAACTAAGAAAGAGAATATCTAGTTTATTGTAAATTCCTACAGTATAAGACTTATTAATGTAGCACCTGGAGGCACTAAGTCCACTGTGAGTGGTTTCCAGAGAATGCAAAAAACGCTTGAAACTTCTGCACACATATCAAGCAGAAGATAGTGAGTAGAAGTGGGGACATAAATCTAAATACCCCAGAATTTCATCATAAATACTTCTTCTTGTATGTCTGTCTCCCATAAAGTATTTTGTTCTACTGTCTTGTATAGCAGCTTTCATACAAAACTGATACCCAGTGAAATAAACAGTGCTTTGATAGTGACAAGTGGCACATTAACTACTGTGCCAATTTCACAGTTCTGCCAGCAAAAATCTGGCTGCAAAAACTAGATGTGAGCAACCATGGAAGAGGAGTATCAAATAATTATGTGTGATAAGGACTTAAGACCCCATGAAGATACAAGAGACTCAACACAAAACTTTGGAAAGCTGTCTGTGCTTTGCTCCCAATTCTTTTGCCAAAATGAAGGGCAAGAAAAATGCCAGCCTACAATCTTCCAAGCAATGAAATTATTCTTCACTGATCAAATAGCAGGTTGATCCAATAAATTTCTTCTACCCAATAAACACAACAACTGTTGTTGGTCTATAGGTATGGAGGTAACCTTCAAAATATTACTCTCAAGTAATGATTGAATTCATCTTTCCACTCAGCAGCATTTGAAGAGCTCATGGAAAGAACAGGTATCTTTTACCAGCAGATACAAAATAGCCTTTTGTATCCCTTAAGACTGATGGGAACTTCAGACGTTCCTATGCTCAGCAATAACAGTGTGAGTTTATAATCTATTGCTGGTCCTAGAAATATCATGTACAAAGAGACAGACTATAGTACAGGCCAGAATCATCCTTCTCTGTGATACAGCAGTGTTCTCAGCTAGAGTGTAACAGCATCTCACGCTGTGCACCTCAGTCAACAGGGACATAGCATCCTGCTGAATTCAACTGCCACTCTGAGTCCAACAATTTTTTTTCTTATAAAGCAGAAGTTAAACCAACCTTTGTCAAGTTAATAAAATTAAGCTTGTTAAAAGCTGGAATAAGTCACAAAACATTCAGACCTTCAAACACTAGGAAGAACTCACTATCCCTCTGTTGAATAGCAGATTTTAGAAAGTACAATAACAGCCAAGTACAATAACTTAAAGTGGTCACAGTGTCTGCTCTAAAGTAAATGTAATTATGTTCTAGCAATGCTGCCATAACTAGTAGATAGTGTTAGCAAGCAGTAACAGACCATTATTTTCATCCCTGTCTTACAGAATAACAGAATGATATAGGGTTGGAAGGGCCCTCTGCAGATCATCTAGTCCACCCCCCCTGCCAAAGCAGGTTCACCTAGAGCAGGTTTCACAGGAACGTGTCCAGGTGGGTTTTGAATGTCTCCAGAGATGGAGACTCCACCACCAATCTGGGCAGACCGTTCCAGGGCTCTGCCACCCCAAAGTGAAGAAGTTCCTCCTCATGTTTAGATGGAACTTCTTATGTTCAAGTTTGTGGCCATTACCTCTTGTCCTGTCACTGGGAACCACTGAAAAAAGACTGGCCCCATCCTCTTGACACAGTCAGCCTTTAGGTATTTATAGGCATCAACTGAATTTATGATTATAAATTGGATATTATGATTTAGATATGTCTTTTAGTTCATGTTGAATGAATCATTTAATGGACTTAAAATAAGGAGGTATGCATTGCTGGGTTGTGCTAATAAACCATTAGCTACATAATCAGGAAAGCAAAGCTTAAAGACAAAAAAAGAAAAACTGGCGATTTTACCAAGGGTTCCCAAAATTATGACTGCAAGACAGTAGCAGAAGACTTGAAAGTGTAAGGGCAGAATGAAACCAGAGGTTTCAAGGCTACAGACAAATCACCAATGGTTGATTAGTATTCTTAAAAAACTGTTAATCTCATCTGAAGAAAAATATACCCGAGTGTATGATCCGGATGAACAGTTCATCTGAAAATGGCTAATATCGAAAATGAAAAGGTTTTCTAAGAAAATGTACTTTGTTGAATAGTCCATCAAATTAAAGTGAATACTTCTGTGGAAAAACTGATTAACACTGTATAGAGATCAGATAATTAACCCATGTAGAGAAACATTGTAGCTGACCATAACTAATAGCATAGGTGGGGGCACATCTAGAATCTGTATATAACACTGTAACAAATGCCATTGAGTTGTACAAGAGCCTCTTTTTTGGCAATCAGATATGCAGAACTGAGCACTCTTGATATCTGGTACTCTACTGCCACTTTTGTTTATACTGTATCATTCCCATTACAGGGAATTGCATCTTAGCTCTAGTTTAAGACATTGAGTGTTTAATTGCTCCACTTAATGGTCATTGAGAACCTGGCTGATAAACCTAAATGCAACACGCTGTGAAGAGAATGTAATCTAGAAAGTAATACAGTAATACAGAAAGTAATATAACTTGGGTATCCTCATCCAGGAACAACGTTATTCAGCACCATCATAGGAAAACTGTTACTTTTGCTTAGGCAAAATGTCCCTGTAATAGGACAGTGTAGACCACCTCAGAGAATACAAAGCAGCCTACATTTTTAAAAATAATTTCACTAATTTAATAATCTTTTTTTTTAATAATTTTTCAACAATCATTTCAAGGTAGCTAAAGAGCAGTAGGAGAACTGTGCCTTTGGGCCTTTTCACATTTTATTTTCTGTGTGTTTAGGTTGCCGTACATTATTTTAACCCATGATTGACTCAGGAAATTGTGTTCAGTCACCATCTTAACTAAATTTTTAGTATATTCTGGATGGCTAAAACAGAAGTACATAGTAGAATTTCAAGAATATATAATAAGTTTGGCTAAATATGGAAAATCATGTGTGAGCCTTCACCTTCTTCATATTTCCTTTACAGATTCACAGATTCAACAGAGTCGGAAGGGACCTCTAGAGATCATCTAGTCCAACTCCCCTGCTAAAGCAGGAACGCCTAGAGCCCATTACTCAGGACTGCATCAAGGTGGGTCTTAAAAATCTCCAGAGAAGGGGACTCCACAACCTCCCTGGGCAGCCTGTTCCAGGGCTCTGTCACCCTCACTGTAAAGAAGTTCTTCCTCATGTTTGAGTGGAACTTCCTATGTTCCAGCTTGAGCTTGTTGCCCCTCGTCCTATCACTGGAAACCACTGAAAAGAGTCTGGCTCCATCATCCTTCAACCCACCCTTTAGATACCTGTAAACATAGATGAGGTCTCCCCTCAGTCTTCTCTTCTCGAGGCTAAAGAGCCCCAGCTCTTTGAGCCTTTCCTTGTAAGGGAGGTGCTCTAATCCCTTAATCATCTTGGTTGCCCTACGTTGGACTCTCTCCAGTAGTTCCCTGTCCCTCTTGAACTGGCTAGCCCAGAACTGGACATTGTATTCCACTTGGGGCTTTACCAGTGCAGAGTAGAGGGGCATGTGCCAATCCTTTTTTTTCCTTCTTTTTTTTTTTTTTTTAAATATATAAACATATTAACTTATTTTGAGATCTGTTTCAAAAGTCTCTCTGCTGAGGAATTACAGAATACTTTTAGGATGTCCTTTTTTTTTCAGATGTATAACTGTAAACTGATAAGTGGAAGGAAAATTTTGAATTTTACAACGTGCATTGTTCAAAAGGCTTACAGACCCTTTGGCGGTTAAAAAGGTAAAACAAAATAGGAAAATGCAGCTCATTTAATGTCCTCAGTCTGTACAGGAAAGACTAGCAGTTCAGTCTCATGGTTAATATAGGGTGAAAGTGTTCATTTTTCTCTACAGGAACTACTTAACCAAAGGGGACAAAAGGGAAAAGATACAGTGAGAAACACATAGAGGCAGAGCTCCATCCATTCTTCTACTCCTTCAAAGACATCACAGAACGAAGTGATTACATTGTCCTGACAGCAGAGCTGTAGCTGCATCTAATGATGTCAAAATACA